CAGGACATCCTTTGTGGGGAATTACTTCTCTAATTTTCCAATTATTTAAGATAATTGGCAAAAGAACCAGAGACAAGGAGAAATGTTTTTAACCCAGTGAGTTGTTATTATCTGGAATGAACTGCCTGAGTGTGTGTTGAAAGCAGATTCAATAGTAGCTTTCAAAAGGAAATTGTATATGTACTTGAAAAGGAAACATTTGCTGGCTATGGAGTAAGAGCGGGGGCATGGAACCAGTTGGATAGCTCTTTCAAAGACCCAGCATAGGCATAATGGGCCGAATGGCCTCCTTCTGTGCTGGAAGATTCTAATCCCTCCATTATCTCTTCATATCACCAACACTTATTTGCCTTCCCTCTCTCATACATCTCTTTCAATCTGCATTGCTTCCAAATGAAAAATCTTCCAAATGAAAAAGGTTTTAAATGTGACAAACGGAATAATTTCTAAAATTATTCTAAAATCACTTTTTGCAGAAATCAATGTCGCATCTCTCATAATCTCTCATAAATCACATGAAACCTTAAAGGTTTACTTTTGATCGTTGACTGAAATAATCTAAATTTACGAACACACACAGTTTACTCTCATAACATCAAAGAAAGACTCAGCATCTAACTATGCTTGTGTGATTAAAAGGTATTTTACTTTTAGTCTCTTAAAGCAGTCAGATGACAAAGTTACTGGATTTATCGTAAATAATAATAATAATCTTTGCATTTGATATCGCTCCTTATCACATAAAGGCACTTCAAAGAATATATTGTAAAGTGAATTGACAATTAATTATATACTTTTTCAAAGAAAAAAGAAATGATAAATTGGTCACTCAATCCACGACTGTTTGTGGGACACTGCTGTGCTCAGTTGGCTGCCGAATTTCACCACAAAATATACGGTCAATACACTTTACAGTATATTCTGTGAAGCGTTTTGAGACATCTCAAAGACGTGATAAGGCCCTATATTTCCACTGGTGGGGGAATCCAGAACAAGTGGGCATAATCTTAAAATTAGAGCTAGGCCATTTAGGAGTGGAATTAGGAGGCAGTTTTTCACCCAGAGGGTAGTGGAAATCTGGAATTCTCTCCCCCAAAAGGCTGTGGATGCTGGATCCATTCATATTTTCAAGACGGAGGTAGAAAGATTGTAAGTCAGGGTATTAAGGGATATGAGGCAAGGGCGAGTAACTGGATTTGAGGTACAGATCAGCCATAATCTTATAATATGGCAGAACAGGCTCGAGGGGCTGAATAGTCTACTCCTGTTTCTATGTTTCTATCAAATACAAGGATTATTATTATATTTTGTGGGTGAAACGTGGCAGCCAATTGCACACAGCAGTGTCACGCACAGTCGTGGAAAGAGTGACTACATTTTCTTTTGAAGGGATTATTGCCCCCAGAAAGCGATCCGCCAATCGACTAACAACTGGGTTCCTACTGACTGCTAGGTAAACGTAGGAATGTGCATTAAGGAAATTTACCTAATGTTTCGCCCTGCCCAGGACTCGAACCCTGGTCCTCTAATCAATACACTACAAGACTCCACATATTAAAATACTATATCAGGGCATAGCCCACGAAGGTTCTCTCCTGTGGATTCTCTCTCTACAGACCTGGGGAGAGCGCTGAAGCAGAGGGAGGAATAAGTTAGACAGACCTTCTTCCTGTGACTGGTTCAGGAGGAATAGTACCGAGCACTTTAGTGACCTGCTCACCATGAGGTTTGGGTGTGAAAAAAAATAGTTTGGGGGTAAAGGATTTTGGAAGGGGAGAAATGACTTTACAAAATAGAGCAGCCAACACTACTTATTTTTTAAAAAAACAATGGATTACGAGGATTAGAAAGTGCAGCTGGAATATACTTGACTTTGTATCTGTTGTATCGCACTCCAAGAAATCTCTTGGGCTTCATGGTCAGTGCAAACCTCAGGCCCTGCCGATGTAGTGAGTGCATCTGCACAGGGGCTTCTGGCAATGCCTCACTTTTCCATTGACTTGTAATTCAGAATGTCCAGGAAATTGGGGTGAGGGGTGGTAGGTTTGGTGAATGTTGTGCTTGCCAAAGGAATCAGAGAGACCTTTATGTTTTATCCAACCTGTGTCAAATGTGATCTGGAAGTCATTGATGGTTCAGTGTAGAGGGAGTTTTATTCTATATATAAACTGTGCTCTACATGATCTGGAAGTGTTATATGAGGAAGTGTAGAGGGAACTTTACTGTGCTGTATTCAACCTGGAATGTCAGAACATTTTTCTTATTGCTACAATACAACAACAACAACATGATTGCATTTATAGAGCACATTTCACGTCGGGAGGACGTCCCAATACTTCTATTAGAGTCAAACGCTCCCAGGACAGGGTCAGCACAGGTCAGTTGCACTATTCCATCCAGCACTCAGAAGTCCACATTAGAGAATGGGATTGATACAGAGGAAGAAACCCTTTACACAGTCCCATCCAGCACACCACAGGGAGAGTACAGCATGGATTATTACTAGCTCAGTTGCAATTTGTGCCAAGTTTATGGACGACCCATTAACTATGGAGATAAGACTGGCCAGGTGTATTTGGCTTTCTCTAATAAGGTTGTAACAGAAAGACTTTCGCCTCATTGATCTCAGACGGATTCAAGCCAGAATCCTCGAGGTGAAAGGCGAGTGCATCACTGATCTTCTTATTATGCGTTTCTAACTCATGGAACATGTGCAGGGGGACGGCACGAGGGGAGGGGTGGGGGGAATGTACAAAAAAGCAAACAACTCAGTGGAAAACCTGTAGCTCATCACAAAACACTAGTGTTAATTAAAGATAAAATCTTTAAAGATAGTGCAATCCTTTTAAAAATGTTAGTTCATTGAAGAGGTAATTCTGATGCCACAGAATCCTAACGAAGTAGAGACTACAACACAAGACAGTGCTTTTTTTTAAGTGAAAGATTTTTTGATTAATTTCTAACAATGTTTAGTTCTGACAAGCAAGGTTCTGTCCTAACAGTTCGTAAAATTTAGTAGAGATCTGTAACCTGCTCTTAGGTTTACCCAATAATGCTGTGTATGTGATAACGAAGATCCATTTTGCCCTTACCCCCCCCTTCCACCAACAACAGCGCTTGGGCACAAATGGATTTTATTTAACACATCACAACAGTAATTAGCAGCAATATTTATTCTTCACATTAGAAATAGTTGGTTAAATCCCAGTGCTAAGGCAACCGCGACAGCTGTGTTTGCAGTCTAGAGCCATGATGGATACTTGCCCTTCCCCCACACATACTGACGGCAGTGAGGATATATCCAGGGTTATTTTGTTTAATTCATCTTCAACAAGTGACCACCTCTCCTGAAGCCTTTTGGCTCTATTCTTCTTGTACGAAGATATTGTTTTCTTCTTCTACAAAGATATTGTTTCTCTGGAACCTCACCAGGTGGCCATTGCCTGGGTTAACAGACTATGGGAGACATCGTACCCCGAATCTGATCCTGTGCTCGCCTCCACATACACAGGGACCACCAAGGAACTTTGAATAACCAGAGACAATTTTTCAGCCTTGAGAGAAGACGATTCAGAGATTTTGAACAAAATTTTGAATGAGATTGAAGAAGTAAACCCAGATCAATACTTTAAAACCCAACAGTGGAACAAAAGGACATAGTTGTAAAGAGCAATTTCAGGACACATATCAGGAAGTTCTTCTTTATGCAGAGGGTAATCAGTGACTGGAACAGGTTACCAGGGCCACTGGACTCATTTAGAAAGCAGCTTGATGCTGTGATGGGGGAAGGCAAGGTGGGTGTTTTGGAGGGATAAAATCAGATGGGCTGAAGGGCCTTTTTCATCTAAACCAATGCAGTGATGTTGTGAACCCTGTATGCGTAAGAAAATATGTGATATGGTTGCTCCCACCTTCCTTCATTGCAGGTTATCATCTGGCTAATAGGTCTACACTCCAGCTGCTAATGCTTAAATGTGGACAGCGTCAGGTATTAACATGCAACGACCTGACCCTGACCCTCACCAGCAGCGGATCATCCAGGTGAGGGGAAAACATGTCTAAATTCTGTGCCCTTCCCACTCCACAGGACAGATTGAGGAAATGGTGCAAAATGTGATGTTTGGAAAAGGATTTGGAAACACAGAGCCCTGCAGGGAGTCGGATTTACATCTTGCTGATCTGCAGGAACTCCTCTCTGACATAATCTGTTTCCAGGATATGACTGAGGGGAGATCCCACAGGCCAGTGGGGCTAACATCTGCTTCCCTGTAGGACAGGATGGGTTACAAGTACCGCATTTTGGACCCCAGTACGACTTCTAACTTCTACCACCGCCCATTCTCTAGCACCTACTGTGAAGGAGCCACACTGGCTGGTTTGCCAAAAATACTCGCTGTTCAAGGATCAATCAAAACTTCTAAACTTTTCAAAAACTTTGTTCTTGGAGTTTATGGTGTCTCCTGAACTCCCTCAATGTGTTTTGTGCCTCAATCACTCGCGAGTATCTAACTGCTCTACACATGGCTAGCATTCCCAGTGTCTCATCATCAGTAGAGGTTTATTACAGCACTGGGATGAGTACAGAATGCATCAATGTCATTAATCACCACAAAGGGCTCTCTACTTTGTTTTCTGTACAATATCATTGCGATCCAGAATAATCTGATTTCCTCACCTTCCCAAACTACCTCAGAAACAGTGTGGCTAAAAGGACTTCAACGAGTTCACTCGTCTGCACAGAGTGGAGATGTTGCTGTTGGCAACCACTTAGCCATTCTCGGCAGTTCCCACAATTGCTCACCTATGCACCCTCCCCAGAAAAACAAATCAAGAAACTTTGAAATATTGACCTCGCCGTGATTTAAAAAGTATTCGCGAGCAAATTAATATTGATATACACCTTTTAAAAATGTACTTAGCATCTTTTTATTTTATTTCAATCTTACATCTTTCATCGAAAGAAATAAACATGCATTTTATTGGAATTTTGATTTACTTACAGCCGTTCGGTATTCCTTGGTATTCCCTTCGGAACAGACTTTAATCCCAAACGATGGCAGTCCACATTGGATCCAGAGCAGATGCAACGACTTGGGCAACTGTGGGCACAAAGTCCCCAAAACACCAGAGCGAGGATGAGAGAGCACAGAATCCTGTCCTTAAATCCAGCCATCAAGAAAGGCAAAGTGGAGGAGAGTGAGTGAGAGAGGTACAAGCAGCAAAAGATTGCAAGCAGCAGGAACAAGTATGTCAGAGTTCAGCTTCTCCCTCCCTCCGATTAGTTTAAAAAGTTTTTTCACAAGCAGAGAGTTGGTGAAACTCACAGCCCCCAGCTCTTGCTTATACCCACTGAAGTATATCTTGCTCCTCAAACATCCAGCAGTCAGAGGACCCTGTTATACTACAAATCACCGACCCCTAACCTTTAATCTAATACTCCAACATTCCTGGAAGCCTTTATACATGCAGTTTCCAGACTACAATCCTTCCTCCAAAACCTTTCACTTTAAACTCCTTGACCAACCAGGAGAAGACTCAAAACAGCTTGAAACTTTTTCCTTTTCAAAAGAAATTCCAGCCAGCAGGCTTTTTCTGACTGAACAGTATTCCTGATCAGTCAGTGTGTTTTTTTAAATCCTCTTGATTGGGAGAGAATAGCCAAGGGAGCCTCCAGGCAAAAACAAGAGACCAGCTTCTCTCAGCTCTTCTGATCCATCAAATCTCTCAGCACTAAACTACACCACTGTCCACAAGCCCTTTATACCCTCAAAACTCATGCAGAATTCTTCACAGGCTACTCTTCACAAACTTAAGGAGTGGGACAGTCTCTGCTCAGATCCTGGGTTGGTTTGTGTTCTTTTCCCAGTACTAAGACTGATCCCAGCTTTCTCTCATTCCTGCTGTTATTGTGATTGTTGTAAAATCATGGAGTAGTTCCTTTCATTTCCTAGCTCTGCACTCTGGAGTGCCTTTTCTGAGATAAAAGTTCTTATACTCGCCCTAAATTCCCAGCTGAAGTTTCTACTGGTTCCCTCCTTGCTGATGTCACCCAACATGTTAGAATGAAAGCTGCGCTCTTTCTCCCACACACATGCACACACACTCTCTCTCTCTTACAATTTCTCCCTCACCCACACCTACTTACACACAGTCTTAGCCTTTGACTGCCCACTTCTCTTCCTCTGTGTTTTTTTGTTCCTTACTCACTCTATGTCTCTGTTCCTATTGTTAACTAAATGTCACTTATTTGGAATACATTTTTCTTTTCCTATAGAAGATTGAGACTCTCAAGATTGTTGAATGTGAAACCATTTATTTAAGTGGATTCTTGTAAATCTATTCCGCGGCCAAAACAAAAGATTTCCTTTTATCCGTAACTTTTTAAGTCATTTCTCTGCTTCTTTGCTTGTAGTCTCCTGTAATAATAATCATAATAATCCTTGCATTCAGCATTGTGCTTTATCTCACTATCAAGACATTTCAAAGCCTTTCATAGGATTTTACTGTAAAGAGTAGTTTGAGTGTTTTTTGTAGGTGAACGTAGCCAATATTCACATAATAATAAATTGATCACTTCAATCCACGACTGTTTATGGGACACTGGTGGCTCAGCACCTTTATTCAGTTAGTGGATTGCAGTTGTATTGCTACGAAGACTCTATAATTGGCTTCAGTGACACTAGAATAGGGGAGGGAAAAATCAACATGGGTTTCAGCGCCCAATCCCTATCCATTGACTCCTGCTGGAAAACTGCAGATGGATGGACTCTGAGTAAGGAAAGAGGGAGATTTGTGGGTGATGCTCCTCTTACCCTCTTGCCAAAATTCACCATCAATAGTTGACACACAAAGAACGGCCACTTGAGAAAGTCCCAGGACAGCAGCAGCACCAATGAAACCTGAGTCCAGCAGGAAAAACAATCAGCTAATTACTTCATTTACAACCAGTAAGCTTTGATTAACGAGTAATGAATCCCTAGTTTATATACAAATGATAAAGGTAATAGTAATAGAATCTGGTGAAACAGAGGGATGTTTTTCTGAAATACGCTGCATCTTGTAAGAAACCTTTCCTATGCTACTGCCTTTGCCGACAGCCTCAAGGACATACGCTAGTGATGCGCCAAACAACAACAACTTGCATTTTATATACAACAACAACAAATTACACTTGGATAGAACCCAGGATAGTGTCTCAGAGTGCTTCATAAACAGAAACCAACTGGGAGAAAGGGAAGCTGAAGGCAGACATTCTAATTGATGTAAATATAGGCAATTGCTGTCAGGTTTATTGATCGGTGGAAGCTGCGCTTCATTCTGGTTCGGTTCAAAGGCAGAAGTGTACACACTCTTACCAGCTCTGAGCAAGTTTTATTCAATTTAAACGCGGTTTAAAAACAAGCTTACAACTAACAGACAAAATGTCTGACTGGATTCCAACCAAGAGGAATTATTCATCTCGGGAGAAATCGAAGGAAAACCCCATTTCTTCATTTTGGGGAATTTTCAACATTGAATATACTATAATTAAACTTTCTCTACAGCTATGTCGCCCTCTGGTGGCTCTACAATCAGCAGCACATGCAGCTCCGGGACATAGATCTTGTCGCATGAGACATTCTGCAGTATCACTAGATTTTCATACCTAATTGAGATTGTGTGTTGTGGAGAAGTAATTAAAACAAATATCACAAAAAAGAACAATTGGATGTTTACATGTGTAATGTGGGACCAAGCCACGAAAAGCAGATTTGACACCTGAGCTGTGCTGAGTGAATTGATTGCCGCTTGTTGTCCCAACCACTGGTTTTGGTGTACTTGTTGGGATTCATACTCCTGATCTCCATATTAAAATAATAATCTTTGCATTTAATATAGCTCCTTCCATGTCAGGGGGCTGCCTCAAAGCATTTCACAGGATCTACTGCAGAATGTAATAATTGTATATTTTTTGTAGGCGAACGCGGCAGCCAATTTGTACACAGCAATGTCCCAGCAAACAGCCCTGAAATGAATGATCAATTTTATCTGGGTGATAGGACACCCAGGCTGGTTGGCCAGGACACCAGCAGGAACTTCTTTCCCTTTTCGAGTCACGCAATAGGAGCTTTAATATCCACTTGAACAGGCAGATCGGATCGGTTTCAAATCTAATCCAAAGGGCGGCACATTCTACAATGCAGCCCACGCCCCCCCTCCCAGCGCTGCACTGAAGTGTCAGCCTAGACACCGATACGAATTCAAAGTTCTGCTGTGGAATTTAAATCCACAACCTTCTGGCTCAGAAGCAAGACCGCTACCAGCTAAGCCAGGCTGATTTTCGTAAGCCTACCATTATTTCCATTGTTAAAATATTTGTGGTCACTTAACAGGCATGATTATATCTGGCTCTATTTGTGTAACATTTTCAATTGGTATGCTTTGTAGTGGCAAAGAAATGTGATGGTATTACTGGTATTATCTTCTGTGAATGTGTCTATGTTTTTAATATCTCTGCATCACCTTAACATTTTTCGTGCCCTTCTTAACAGGAAGAGGTTTTGAGATATATAACAATAATCATTGCATTTGATATCTTATCAGGTCTTCGAAAATATACTGTAAAGTGAATTGATTGCATATTTTGTGGGCAAAACGCGGCAGCCAATTGCACACAGCAGTTAGCAGACAAACAGTCGGGGACTGAGTGACCAAATTATTAAAATTTTTTAAGGGTTTATTCCCCAGAAAGCGATCCGCCAATCAACTAACAATCGGGTTGGTACTTACTGCAAGGTAAACAAAGGCATGTAGAGTAAGAAAATTTGCTTAAGGTTTTGCCCTGCCCAGGAATTGAACCTGGGTCCTCTCACTTGTGGGGTGAGTGCTCTAACCAATATGCTACAAGACTCCACTGAATGTTAAATGATATTTATACAATACAATGCAAATTTACATCTATATAGCACCTTTCATGTCGAGAGGATGTCCAAGGTGCTTAAAATTACCGGATGGATATTGAGCTGGGGGAAGGAACCAAGCGAGGTGGGGAAGGGAAAAATAACCAAAAGCGCAATTAAAGAGGTAGATATTGAGACGGACCTTGAATGAGATGAGGGAGCGAGTTGGAGGGACTCCAAAATGGATTCCAGAGAAAGAGGAACATGGGCTGAAAACTCGCCTGACGACGATTTCGCAGATAGGGATCGTTAACATTTATGGATGCAAGTTCTATCAATCTGCTAATGATTTTCCTTTCTGTTGTTTCCATTCTGTGGTTAGGAGCTGCTCTCCTCTGGCCTGAGTATAACAACTTTTATCAACCTCAGTGAAGTGCGTAAAGTTTTTAAAGTTTCTCCTACTGTTCAGAGCTACTGTGTGTGAGATTAACAGGAATAAATTGGGGTTTGGTGATGCACTTCACAGCATGAGAAGATGTGAACTGATAAGCATGAATTCAGAACAGAACATGGCATGATCACCAACTATTAAAGCGTTGGTTCCTGAGTAGGGTCAATACCCCTGAACGCCAACCTTGGGGATCTCCCCACTTTCACATGGTTGCGAGATGTTATGGCCCTGTTAAGATGGCTAACTAGGTTGTCAAAGGGCGACTCTCATGCCTGGCCCATCATTAGTTTCACAGCTTCTCACTTGCTGGATGGTCTCAGAGAAGATATGGGCCTCTGAGTTCAACTTGCATTAACTGTTTCAATCCTTGAATTTTGACCCATTGCTCAATGAAGGCAGTTTAAGCAGCATAATGATATTCCAAGAGCATGGCCAAAGGTAAACTTACATTTAAGTAGCTTTTATTAACATGTCTTAAATTAGGAACAACATCAAAATGATCTGTAGAGGAATGGCTGAGCAATAACAAAAAGAAAATGCCTTTACACCAACTTACTAAAAATGGAGCGCGACAAGCTTTTGATACCAGGAAATACTGTGCTTTGTACAGGTTACGTTGTACGTGAGAGAGTTTGTAAATAGATGAAGTGCTGGTGGATAAATGACATATGATATTATAAATTCCGTCAACCTATATATATATATATATTGTTACTGAGCCTCAATCAGTAAGATCCAGAGGTCAGAGATGCGCATGGTCTGAATTTTGTTCTAAACTCAAGTTATGAACAGATTTACTTTTGCTTTTTTTAGCTAAAGAACAGTCCCTGCCAAGATTTTATGTTTTTGCCTTCTGGATTGGGTTACATGGCTGGTTTGAAATCCAGCCCGGACTCTCTTGGTTTCTCTGTTTGGGGTAAACTTGTCGCATTTCCTAATGGGCACAGGCTCACAGGAAAGAATTTCCCACAATTTGGCACTTGAATAGCAAATCTATTCAACTAGTGTGGAAAATAAAAATGGTACGCTGGGGTAGATGCACTTTATGGGCGCTACTAGTCCAGTGTTTTAAACAACAAACCTCTTTTATAAAATCTTGTTTTATTATGGGCTGACCGAATGATTTTTCAATAAAAGGCTAAATTGCAGTAAGTGGGGTTAAGCTATGTTGAGGGAGAAATTCTATCTGGGTCTACATTTGCTCTATTTATGTAGCATTACAGAGCACCCAGAATCTGGCAAATTATATCATTATTATTAGATATACATACGAGGGAGAAGGACATAGAGAGGAGTAAGGATTGTTGGAGATTCATGTGGAGTATAAACACCAGCATGGACCAATTGGCCAAAGCTCTGTTTCGGTGCTGTTGGATCTATGTAAATATGTATACAATTTAACCTGCAAACATTCCAAAAAATAGTCTCCCAAACCCCGTGATTTCCTTTGCAGATTAACATTTAAGTGGTGACAATCTGTTAAGGGCTTAAGATACATACAGCATGTTGGAAACAGCAACTGTACAAGTGTTCAGCCAAGCACTGGTGGGAGAGGAAGGTTACTAGCAACACTAAAGACTATACAATACAAAATTACATTTGTAAAGCGCCTTT